CCCCAAAACCCCAAAACCCCAAAACCCCAAAACCCCTGAGTTGGAAACATCCAAGCCAATATTCAAAAACTATATTTAAGGGATCAAGATGCTGGTTATCTTGCTTTCTTGAACTGTATTCCAGACAAAGAAACTGAGTTACCACTACAGGTTAAACCCTAAACTTACCCTGATCTGTATCTATTCCCAAATTCAGGCATCTAGAGAGTAAGAAGAGTACTTACTCTTTCTTCAACTTCAATACGAGTAGGAAAAGTCTTAGAGTTCTTACTGCTCTTCTTTCAGAACTTTGAGGAAAGAGATAAACATAGGACAACTATAATTTTAGGGATTAGTTTACCTATCATTATGAGCATTATGATGAGCGAGTTTGACATCAACACATACATAAATATGGTTTTAACCGTGTCATTCCACTTCTCCGGTGTATCAAAGAATACTCCTGATAATGCCATATTTAGTAAGATGATTTCATTCACTGCCTCTATCAAATTATTTTGTGCTTTATCCAAAGGCCTCACAATAACAATGAATAAGAGATAGCATATCTGAATTACTACGAATCCCAAGCATAAATAGAATGACCTCACATGGTTAAAACTCAGAACAAATAATATGAGCAAGGTTCTTCTGATCAGAGACATTGAATTATACATTCTGGCAATCTTTGATGCTTTTACTCCCTCGATAAATTCGCCACATTTGTAATGATTGTCTTTGTCATAGGATTTCAAAGTGCCTACAAAGAACCAAATCGACACCAGCAGTATGAATGCTCAGAATACAACCCCCACAAATGCAATGACCAGAGACACCACATCCTGAGTGGTGTGGACATCAAAGCTTAACACTTCAGAATAGCTGGAGACCATGAGGGCCTGAAACCCACTGAGAGCGATCCTGATAAAGATAGTGAAGTTCCACAAGTCAAACAACTTCATTAACAGATAATTAATGGATCACTTTTCTTCTTTCCCGAAATCAATAAAACACTTGAGCAGGTAAACCAAAGGATAAAGAAGAAGCATCAGAATGAATCAAGATCCAAAAGAAAAGTTATTTACAAGGCTAGATGCTGAACCGAAGCCAATAGTCTCCAAATACACATTCTTCTGATCTATGTCTATCCACGATGTTATGCAATTGAACTTCGGGATCTCTTGCACTGGGATAATCGAAAAGTCAAAGCTCAGCGCTTTGTTTCCAAGGATGATTCCTTTGATGTCATCAGGAAACGGTGTCTTTGTCAGAAGCAGCAACATCAATATCTGGAATTGGCTCACTATTGACCAAATGGCTGCGATTGAAGTGAAGTTCAGAATTGATATGGCAATGATTGCAATCAAACTAAGTCCTGATGCAGCTTTGGAACCAGAACTCATTTGTTGTGCAGACTCAGACATTACAATTTGACTACTTGTTGTATTTGTTGTGTTTGCTTGTTGTTCTTGTTGAGGAGTAATAACTCAAGAACTATCCACCAAATCATATTCATCCTCACACTTAGTACAAACTCCAATCTGAGTCTTGCTTCACTCCAAACAATGGCCAACTCCTTTGCATATCTGGCATAAACTTGTAGCTAAAAAGGTTACTATAAAATCGAACAAGCAGGAATTTCACTTACAAGTTGGCAGCTTGTTAATTCAAACATATCCTTCATCAATCTGACCGTTTCTGTCACATCCATCATTCTCTGCAAGGTTTCCATCATCACATTCCTCTCCTACATCTAAGACTCCGTTTCCTAAATCGAGATAGCCTATAACTTAAAGTAAAATGAATACTATTGACGACTGCTCCATTCAAATTCGGCTTTTGATATGCATTTGAGTGTCCCTTATACAATCTCATACTATGGATAATAAACTCAACCTCATGATCTGCTCAATATTTTCACCCAATGTATCCATCAAGAGTCCCTGACTGTCCTCCACTACCATGACTCTCCTTCCCATACACTTCCCCCGATTCACCCAACACTGACCCAAACAAATTAATCGAGCCAACCTAAATCCCAAAAGTCACCTCTTCTCCACCCAAAATGCATCTCTTACCGCGAATCCCAGTGAGTTCCAGCCAGCTAAACCATAAATTCCACGAACAAAAATCGCAAAAACTATAAAATCCAAGAACAAATCTGGTCAGCCCCAATCGCTTACCTGTTATAGACAATCCACTGCTAATTTTCTTACTGTCTGCTTTTACGAAGTAGTTAAAATCGGTTCCTTCAATCCCTGCGTAGAGTATAATTTGGGATTTGAAGTCTCCCTCTAGCTACAAATCATACCTCTGCTTACCCTAGCCGGTAGTGCCACAAACGTAGCGTCTACTACTCCTTGCACCAAATAAAACCAAATCCTTCCTGTAATTCTTGACTTATTCTTAAAATTTTTAGAGAAGTCCAAATGTCTAAAATGAATAGAGCAACTTACCTAGTTGAAGAAAACACTAATCCACATTGGGTGATCAGAGGCTGAGAAGAAGCTACAGCTATATAAAGAGTTGTTAACATATTAAATATCAAGAATGGAAGCTTAAGAAAACTATTGACTCTGTTAAGCCACCTGAGCATTATATCACAAAATTAATATTTTCAGAAGAGATTAGAACTCGCTTAAGTTCTCCTACCAATAAATTGAAAAATGTAGAAAACTTAAACAGAAAATTTAAAATTTTATCAAGAAATAGGCTTCACTGATCATACAAGAGCCTAACAAACTTTTAAGCATGTACAAGGTTAACCTGAACATTTTGATAGCAAATAGAATGATGACAATTTGTGTGTTCACTCGAAAAATAATGAACCTCCAATTATACTTTGGCATATTTGTAAAAATAATTATCTCATCTTGTCTAAAATATTTAGTTACAAATAAAATTCTCAAAAATAACCTCTAGTTGCTGATCAAATTAAACAAGAAGACTTGAGACTATGAACACTCTAAGTCAGATATTTTGCAAACTGTTGTTTTTCTAATGAAAGCTATTTGTCAAAAATATTAGAAGATTGTATTTCTAAGTCTTAGCTGTATCAAATAGCATTTCAAAAGCCATCTCTTATATAATATATCAAAAATGCAATGATATAAAGCCACCTCTTACCTGGTACAATCAGATCTGGAGCACTTGGGTTGCTATCAATGTCACTAAAGCTTGATGGCAACGAGCCAAGTCCTGCAAACTTATATGTAGCAATATATTTGTTTGCTTCAACTGTCACCACCAATAGCATGATAACAACTCCCAAAATTCCTTTGTCAACTTTGCCTAAACTCTCAGTCAGTCAAGCTTTCCTAATCCCACCTAAAAATCCTTTTCGATCTTTCATCTTTATTAACAATCTTAAAAATCCTTTATGGGGTTTTGGGGTTTTGGGGTTTTGGGGTTTTGGGG